ATCCACTTAGTTAACCTAAAACCACACATCACAGAGGTCTTGGGCTACCGACTTTGCACTTTCTTCAGTTGCATATGATTTTAGACAGTCATCCACATTTTCAGGACTCTTTCTCTTTGTAATTTCAATATCGAACAAATCATGGTTATCTATAACATTCTTGTGCATTAGCTTTTTCAGTTCCCTAACCACTGCCAGGATGCCCTTACTTGCTGATACCTAGCATCACGACCGTGCCACCCGCCGCCTAGCAAACCATGCACACCACATACAAATCATCAACACCACCAAGGCTATGAGCCGGAGGCACCCCATGTATGGATTCAACACTTGCTCACTATCGGGCATCCTAGAACTTGGACACCCCTCCAAATTGAAAACATTAATATCATCAATTAATATTTGTCCATATCATGTTCATTGGTTGCTCTATAAACTTGTCTTGAGAAATGTCACTTCCTTGACTTCCAGCTCTGTACGAATCTTGCATCTATCATCTGCTACGTCCATCTCAATTTCTAAATCAAGTTGTTCTTCCATTATTTTGAGCTGAAATCTTGCTTGCTTTTAGCTTCTCTGTTCTGGCTATCAACTCTGCTTTTAATTGGTCTTTTTTAGCCTCTGCCATAGCTGCATAGAACTAAATCTGAATCCATTCTCTGATGTTGTCTTGGATATTAAGAACTCGTATGTCACCATCCACTGGTCTCATTGAACTCAAGTCTGTCATTCGATCATTCATTAATTGTGTTCAGCTTCTTACATATAGTGTCTCAATTTTTCAATTTAGTAGTGTAGACAACAGTCACCGAATATGCTTGTGTTTCTAATTATTTGGATACTTGATCAGTGTATCTGTTTAAAACGTACCACATATAGTCAAGTCTGGGAATGACGCCACCAGGAGAGTGAATGTACTTATTATGGTTTGTGAGGGTGGTGAGTGGGAGGGATTGATTCTAACAATCGATGGTATATATGTTACCTTATCTTGATTCTAAATCCATCCTTGACTTACTTTTTAACATACACAAAACTAACAATTATCGTTTTTAAGACATAATTTGGCGATCTTAAAAGTAGCTAATTAACTATCAATGTTATGGTCAAAACATAATTATGCAACTCAGTATTATCATTTCTGGTACACTGTCACTACATCGTTAGAGCGCCACCTATGATAGCATTGGAGACGGGGAGTAGAACCTAAACAAACTTGATGATTACTGCTAAAAATCAGTCACAGCGTTGGTTTTTGTTGTAGAAACTTCGAAATACTGGCAAATTTACAGTTTACAATCGAATGTATGGTTGATATGGTAGATCTATGTATGCTGTATGTTGCGAAACACTTTATTCAGATAAATCTTGTTTTATTTTAGTTTAATTTTTCCATGCGACGAGAGTCGCATTGATGATGTAATAACATATTGCAACCACGTAGGGTGATCATGCGTTCCCCAAGTGATCACATCTGGACAACCAGTAACACTAGTTTACGATAATAATGATTCATAAATGATTTATTTCTGGATTTGAGCGATGTTTTATGTACGTTGAGATTTTCACTGAAAAGTATGTATTGTTTACTCGCCGCCTGAGGTCGCCATTAAGTTAATATGAACTTCCTTTTCTGTGAACTCTTGTGGAGCCGTATTTGTAATCTTGAAAAATGCTTGGTGATTTTGTGAGATTCTATTTTTATATTGTTACAGTCAATCTTTCTATATCATCAGAGTACTATTCAGCATATATATACATGTCTTAACTGGTATGATGAATAGGAATAAATTGTAACTTAAGGTAGCGAGAGAGGAACAAACTAGAAAAAAAAAACATGTTTCAACAAATTTCGGATTATGAAACATTATATAGTGTACTTTCTTTATCTTTGG